TTATCAAATATATAATCAGTAACTATCACCATATTTGATACTAATTACCAAGCGTTGCATTCAGGTGCTTAACGTTATTAGACTTTTCTTTCAGTGTGCTATTTGTCCAAGAGCAAAGCTTATCTTGCCGTTTTGCGTGCAGTTGGATCGCGAATCTGCTAAATAAAAACGAGCAAAACTTTGAATAAGACAAATCGAGCTCTCTTTGCTCGCATACCTCGGCTCCCGAAGAATTATTTTCGGACGCGAAGTGTGACGTGGTGATTTCGATCGGCGGCATCCGGCGACGTCGAATTTCATCGAGTCTGCGGTAACGCTAAGTCGCATCCGCATCTTAAGTCGAATCTATGTGCTCCAACATTCGCGGCTGCTTGCGACACCAATAACTTAAAAGGTTTCCGATGCCGGTACGTACCTTCCGAATCTTACGGCCCGATCCAGTTGGGATATTACCGCGCTAGAGTATCGAGCGAAAGAGAGAAGATTTGCCGATGTACACGTGCTTTCTCGCATCGGAGCTTTCTCGCTTTTAACGCGACAGGTGAAGACGAAGAGGAAAGAGCGCCAACGGAATGAAATAGCGCGGCTTTATTTCGTTCTCCTGCAAATAGAACGTACTGCAATGCGCAATGCACATTTGCCTTTCGAAATACGCCTGACGTTTCCTCTCCTCTAAGTTGGAACGGAGAGTACCCGATTTCGAAATTTTGCCTCCGCATTGACCCTGAAAATTCCGTCGAACTTGAAGGGCCACTGTAGGATCTTCACGTGCTCCGAATCGAAATTTTGGTTCCGCATTAATCCTGCAAATTCCGTCGAACTTGAAGGATCAATGGAGAATCTCAATATACAACATTATGCAGTTATTGTCCTAGCTTGATGCTGCAAATAGTTTCTTGCTGTTTTCTCGATAAAGCACTTGTAATAAGAATTATTTATAATAGTTGGTTATTTAAATTATTTTATTTCAGAATCTTCTGCCTACATTTATATATAATTTTGATTCTTAATCATTATTTCATACTTTTATCTATTTTCAAGAATTATTTAATACTCGATTATTTAAATTATATTTTATCTCAAAATGTGCATTTAATCTTTATTCTTAATAATTACTTACTCTTATTTATTTTTTAAGCTCTTTTTTATTTTAATGAATTATTTGATATTTAATTTGAAATGTTTTATCTCAAAATATACTACTCGCATTTAATTTTTATTCATAATAATTATTTAATACTATTATTTATATCTTAAATTTTTCTTTTTTTTTCTAAATTATTGAAAATACTCAATACAATTTCGATTCATGTCGATGTGAGAATGTGACTGTCATTACAAATATAATATCACCCACTTCCTACATCAGCTAACCGGAAGATAATCTCACGACAAGAGAGCATTGTTGTCTTCGCGATACTACACAAACGTATTTAACATGTGCGACGTAAAGCCTTGTGAAACATTTCTTGCTCGCGGGCGAATGTACCGGGTAACTGAAGACACAGGCGAGTTTCCAGGCGAGCGGATCTGCTGCGGTTTTGTGTGTACACACTCGTCTGTGTACATACTCGCCCTCTCCCCCCGTGCCGTGTACGTGGAAAGATGGAAGGTCTTCTCTGTCTCTATAGCCCTTGCTCTCGTGCATCTCCATCAGGAAGGTAAGAAGAAGTTAATCTCGGCCCTTTCAGGGAGAGAGAGAAAAAGAGAGAGGGAAAGGGAGAATGCAACAGTAACGTAACACAAAGGGATGGAATACGCCACGCAAATTGCGCCTCACCTGTACAATTATGTTCCGTAAATAGACCCCACCGATTTCGTCGAGATTCAGAATTGTTTTCATTAATTGTTTCAATTAATTTGATTTCGACCTCGACTTTACATTACGTTTTCGCATGCATTAGCGTCTCCAGTTGCAGTAGCTGGACGGCCGGCTCGTAATTCGCATAATTAAATGCGCGACCTTGTTGAAGAAATGCGCGGGAGAGTTATCCAGTTGGAAAATTTCGAAAATTCCATATAACCGGCTAAGACGACGTCGGAATTTTCACCGGTAAATTCGGCCAAAGTTTTTCGAATTCCGGCGAACATGACCAACACACACACACGCACACATACGCGAAAGATCCGCCCGCCGGAGATTTCATTTTAATTTCGCCCCGAGCCGTCGTTTTTTCGTCTGTGTCAGCGTTCGCTCTTTCGCGATTGTTTTCGACCAATTCATGCGCAAGAAGGAGAAAGAAGAAAAGAGAAGAGAGAGAGAGAGAGAGACAGATATCGATATACAGAGTGTTTGACATAAAACACTGTTTGTGTGTAGAATATATCAAACTAAGCGAAAAGTTCTTTATCCTATTTTCCAAACAACTACATTATTTTTGTTAAAGTTTTATTAAAATTTCGAAATATTAATGAAGAAAGTTCTCGCAACATTGCAGACATTGCTTTGCCAATCTCCTTCAATGTCGTCGTTCTTTGAAGAATGGTAAGGGCCGTTTGCTCCATTTTGATATAGTCACCTGCATTCTTGTGTCTTGCGTCGTACAGCCTGTATAACGGAAAGAGCATCGGCGGTGGCGGAGGAGAAATAGAAAGAAAGAACGCTCCAGAGGAGGAAATACCGCGTGGATTTTGCGCGAAGCTTGATGTTTGCTACTGCGGGAAGGAGAGGTGGATGCATTATACGCACACACATACACACACACATACATACACATGAATGCATGGCGTATTCGCGCATATTTTCCGTTCGCGAATCTACATGAGTAACGGCACCGAAATTTCGGCGCCGTCGCCATAAATTCCACGGAGGAGCTCGTTTTCGAGGGCGCGCACCCAAGCTTTCTCGGTGATACGGCGACGTACGCCTCGTTTTTGTTCGACCCAGCCGTCGCGTTTCCGGCGCACGTCGATACGGTATTTGAAATTGAGATGCGACGATTTAAGGAGATTCCAACGCGGTTCGCCCTTTTGGGTTTCCGTCGCGATGACGCGCGGATTAGCCGGATGTCCATTTTGTTCGGTGCTTACCGGGATGTTTCGCGCCGAAACGGCCGAAACGATGGAGTTCGCAGCAACGGTGCTGACGTTAAATTTGAATCCGAACCTGAACCTTGACGTCGTAAAAGTCACCGTAGAAAATTCCGTTTTGTCATATCAAAAAGTTATTCATGAAAATGTTTTATATATTCGAGGAGTCTTTCTAACTATGTAAACAAAAAGTCATCCCTCCTTCTCTTTGAAAGTAATTTTGTAATTTCAAAGATTCTACGAGGTAAAACAAGTAAACTTTATCTGGAACATTTCCTTGAAAAATTACGCAGGCCATCTTGTACAATCGCGGTAACACGCGTGAGTGGAGATATAAAATGGCTGTGCCGAAGAATCATTACTATTATATGTTATTAATTTTTTTATTAATTATAGTTCTCAAAGTTTGTCATTGAAAAAAAAATTTCTAAATCTCACTTCTTTATGTCTTCTATTTCAAAGAAGGACAGCAAAAGACAAAAACCTAACTCGACAAAGTCGTTCTAAACTTTACCAACTTTCATTTAAAAGAAAAACGTAAAAATCGCTTCAAATCTCAAGCCTTTCTTGAAACGTGAAATTCCATTTGATGCCACTGCGCGCCGGAGCGTCGTTAATCCGATCACGTGGTCGATTTTTGCCGAGGGCATCGCGGAAACTTACAACTGCTGGAGGGGAGCGAAATCCATATGAAATAAGAAAGAATTACGCGAGCTCTCTCCCTGCGGCGCCACGTCGATTGTCATGGAGATTTTTAGGAACGGAATTAATCCCAGCTACAGCCGTGTTCGCAGTCGCGAGGTTCACTACATTTTCGCGATTTGCATTTCGTCAATTTGTCGCGGCCGAGATTACCGTTATCGCCGCGCTAATCCCCTTCGTCTCGCGGCGGTTTACTCCGATCGCCAAAGAGATCCGCCATCGATCGTGCCAATTTTCGTGGCTATTCTCGCGCAGAACCACACGACTGGAGAATCGTCCGAAAGTACGCCAAATTCGCACGAGAGACGGAGAGAGGATGGGGATAAAAAGGGAAAGAAAAACAAACGCGGATAACGCGCGGAATGACCCCAACGCGGATATTGTCTGTAAGTGAAAAAGCTCGGGGAAATAATAATAATAAAGCGCGGACGCGTTATCTCCCGTAATTTTCCCGGTGTTTTGGGGACACCCGCGCGAGCTCGCGACTGCGCGAGAGAAAATACGGTCACATTTTTAGAAACGAAAACACACATATTTATTTTAACATTTCACGCGTCCATTGTTCCCGCTTGAAAAATGTATGCTCCCGTTGTTACGATAAAACGCACGCTTTGCTGGCTGTTCGGCGCCGTGTTTAAAATCTCGTAAACAACGCGAGCTGCTGGTTATGTGAAACGATAAAACAAAAATGCGACGCGACCGCAATTGCCCACTCTTCGCGACGGACGGGAGGTTGGAGGAGGATAGGGCGACGAAGAGGTGAAAAAAAAGAGTCGCAGAACGACGCTGGAATGTTATGAAATCATTTATCTCCCACTTTTTTGCATTACCCGCCCCGATTATAGTCCTCATGATGGCGCGACAATGCGAGCAAAAGCGGCGGGAATTTTCCGAAAGTGTTTCGCCCAAGTATCACGCGGCTTCGCTAATGGATTCGCCGTAACGCGCACAGTTGCAATGTTATAAATTTAATTATTCAGCCGGCTCGTTTCAATGCGCGTATCGTTCGCGTTAATTCGAAAAACGTAATTATCACGAGCACGTGCACCTCGGCGATGTATGTTAATGGTGTTGAAATAAATATAGTCGCTTCAAGGATACGTTATTAAAAGATCCCGATTGTGATTGTGTGATTCCGACGGTAATAAGCCGCGGCGCGAAACGAGCTGCTCCAGCGGCTGCTGCCGGTCAAAAGGGGGAGGGGGATTCGCGCGAATCAGCATACGGAAGTAGCAGCGAAGACGAATGATCGCCATTCGCAATTGCAGGACGGCGTGAGTCTGCTGCAATTTACGCCGGCGATGGAGGACGAGGGGAAGTTCCTGGTGTGCCGTGCCGAGAATCCGAAGCTGCCCGAGGCCGGCATCGAGGACCGATGGAAGCTGAGGGTGCACTGTAAGTACCGCGCCGTAATAGTCGATAACGAAACGACTTTGAGAAATTTCTATAAGGTTTTAATCGTGCGTTTCACAGACGTTTCATAGGCGAATTCGGGACGTGTGTGTACTCTCGGCGCCTCGACTCAACCCTCTACAAACGTTGTGCAACTTTGAAATTGCACGCCTGTCTGCATTTTTTAAAATCTGATTTTGCTTGTTCGTCAGAGTGTATAATTGTGACTTGAAAACAACGTTGGGCATGAACCGATTGAGATTTTTTACTGGAATAATTGGCTGATCGATGATCAGAATTAATTAATTATCATATACAGAATGTCTGACAATCAATGACACACCCGTATGCAAATAGAATTTATCAAACTGGACACAAAATTTCTCTCACCATTTCGCAAACTACGTAAAATTTTGAATTGTTAATTTGAAGATTTAGTGAATAATCACACGCTATATGGTGAGTGAACCGTGATGGTGATGTCTGCCGACGTATGCTTGTACATTGAACAAAAATATCCTCTACCGTTTTGCAAATAATTACGTAGATTTTCAGTAATTAACTGAAGAAGATTGCTGCATCACCGCGCATAATCGTGCATCGATCTTCCTTAATTAACAACTCAAAACTTGGTTACATAGTTATTTACGAAATGGTAGAGGACATTTTTGCTCCATTTAACGAGTCCTATTTGCATCCCGTACGATTAATTTAATCAATTAAAACGAAAATTAATTATTAATTATTAATTAATATATTAATAATTGTGTATTATTAATCAGTGTATAACGTATCGTATTAAAGTTGGATTAATAATTTATCAATCGATTAAATTATTTGTAATTTTACTGGTGATTTGTTAATTTTGTTTATTAATTTACCAATTATTTTAATTAATGAAAATTTTAATCGATTAATGTGCCCAAAATAATATACATTGCTTAAAAATAATAATAATGCCGCCTAGATTGATTTTTTATAACAGCCATTAGCTATTTTTCCATGCCAGAATGGATATTAATTTACGATAATAAAATACATAAAAAACTCAAATGTTTAACTAGTTTCATAACAAAAAATATGAATAAGCAATTGGTTATTGATGGAAAAACTGATTATTGAGCGCAGTAATTTGGACTATAACAGAGCCAATTAATATGTGCGTTTTAATTATTAATTTTTCAGCAAAAAAGAAATTACAAAGGGTTATAGAAGGTTAAGCGTTTTGAAAACGCCGAAAAGCGATCGTATTTCTTCATTTTACTGTGTGTGAAAAACACCAGCGAAAACTCTCCTTTCTCTTGTTTCATGATTGGACGTTGTTGCGCAATTGTTATTTACTGTTTGAGAATAGTTGTTGTAATAGGATTGCGCAAATTAATTTATTCTCCGAGTGCATTAACCCAACATTGGACCTACCGCGTGCAATTTTAGTCATGTATTCGTGCGACCTCTGCTGGCACTCAGACGGTTAAAGTTCGTCGAATTCCGCGCGGACGGCCACTTCGTGGCCTGCGCTGTGCGAGCCACACTCGGCATGCTGAGCGTACCGCAATTCTTCCGAATATCGGCAAACGTAACGACTTCTTCTTTTTATTTTCTTTTTGTTTTGCCGATCATCGCTTAGCAAACGACCGAATGCGATTATTCCGATAAATTCCGAAAAGCCAGCGAATTCTCCCGTTCCGGGACAAAGACGGGCGGGCAGGCAGGCAGGGCGGGCGATCGGAATTTCATTCGAACGCGTTCAAATAACGGGCGCCCATGCAATCGCCCCCTCAAACAACGATCCTCGTAAGTCTCTGGATCGTTCTTAAAGGGAAACGACGGAGCTCCGCGTAGGGTAACGCGCTTCCTCGCGCTTTCTCCCACGAAGCGAGGAAGTTAAGTGTTACGTACACGAAGGGGCCGAGCAACGCGCTATATCGATCTCCTAGGAGAATATAAGGACGTATCCTCGCGAGATCGGCATTAAATTATACATTCAATGGCCACACGGAGAAAATATAATTGAAAAATCACATTGAAATTATATTTTTTTCCCATAGCTTTTCGCAAAGGATCAATACAGAAACTATAGTAATTCTTACCTCAATGATAATATAGAAATAGTAAATTCGACATCTATCTGAGATATACAATGCAAAAGCATTTAAGTAATTACGATCATTTTGCAATAAAGAATGATCAAATGCGCATAACATTTACAAACACTTATATAATGATTCCGGTCATAATTTCATATGACCCAAGATGACGAAAATTTTGTTGTAATTTTCCTTACAGTATTTTCTCCGTAATATTGAATTTAGTCCGAAATATTAGGTTCAGTATAAAAGCACAGCTCGTTTGGTCAAACTTCATCTTGCATTCAGCGGAAACGAGTTATCAGTCGACCAGGCAATCAGTTTTTTCACTGATTCAATATTTCATTTTTTAATTATCAACAATAAAAGAATTGACCATATTTGGAACGCTGTACGTGCACGATAACGTTGTGTCATACGTTATACTCCGCAAATATTAGTTTTATCGTATTCGCAATTATTCTCTCGCATTATTCATTTTCGCAATTATTCTCTCTCTTTCTCTCTCTCATCAAATTAATTGTTACTGTCCTAGTTGACCTTTTTCGTAATTCTTTGCTTGAACAAGTCTTCATTTACCACACATACGTGTCGAGCTGTTGTAAAATAGCTGCGTAAAGAGATATTCGCGTATACGGAAATTGGCTGATTCAAGCCCATGGGAGAACAACGCAATTTGCGCTACCGGAAATCACGCCAAAAAACAAAGTCCGCGTAATTAGCCAGCCAGTTTAAATATCCTACGGTCGTGCACGATAACGGGTTCATTATCCACCAAAAAATTAGTTGGCCGTATCGGATAACGTTAAACAAGCGCGGCCGGGCTGTAGACGCTATTAAACGTTAATACGTATTATTACTGAATGATATTAAACGTTGCATGGAGCAGGAAAAAATATGCGATGCCGGCGCGCCTAGCGGGCGATCGCAAGTAACCACCTGATTACTTTTGCTCGGTACTTACTTGCTCAAAACTCCCTCGCGCTTGTACGTTACGGTGACGCCTGGCTTGCGAATTGGGACGGCCGGGCTTGAACTTTGCACAGTATAATTGCTCGCCTTGACCGCGGAGCGGTAAACAGCCAGAAATAACCGCAGTCACTTGATACCACGCTTGCCATACATGAAAATCTTACGCGGAATCGGCACCATATACAGGGTGTCCGGCTGTTCGCTACGGAGCCGCGATGTATAGATAGAGCGAATATCAACGTGAACGAGAAGATCCTCTAGCATTTCTCAAACAGTTACATAAAATTTCAAGATCCCCGGTCGAAATTTTGATCCTATTTTCAGCCTTACTATTTCATAGCATAGGTTCAACATTCAATACTCAATACCATAGGTTCAACTTCAATACTCTGAAACCTATATCAACCTTTTTTGATTCTATTTAATCTATCCGAGTCGGAAATTTGATCCTACTTTCAGCCTCGCTATTCCATTCGACACTTATTTTGGCGCTAAAGAAAGTGAAAAAGGAAATTTCGATCGTCATCAAAGTCAAATATCGAAATTTTCCATGTGGTTGTTTGAAAAATGGTAGGAGATCTTTGACTCAGATTGATGTATTCCATCTGCACATCGCGGCTCCGCAGCGAGTTGTCGGATATTCTGTTACATTATCGCCGGCGATATGTATGCATCGTTAATCGCGCCAATAGTCAAATCCGGGAATCATTAATCGCGCGAACACCATTTATCTCAACTGGCCGGGAACCACTCAAAATTCCGCGCCGACGCGGCACGGATCGATCTCTGAGAAACGACTCGGAATCCAATTGTGCAAACCACGCTCGTTGATCTCTTTACTTGACAAAGAGCTATAAGTCACAAAGGATTATATAGTACAATTCTTTCTCGAATACAAAACCAATCGGTTACACGGAGAAAATATCGTAGTTTCTTTTTCTTCATACAAGTTCTTTTCAATTTTACTGTATTTTTAGCAGTGTAGATATAGACTCGATCTGTCTTGCCAAGCAACGTAGTAATTTTTGCTGGAAACATAGAGAATTTTACCGGAAACGTGACAAATTTTTTAGTAACACATTTCAGTTCTTAAAATACACAGAAGCAAGTAACATACATGAAATAAAAGGATATTCAATTACTGCAGAGAAAGTCGACTTTTTCCTCTGTTACAAAATTCTACAGTTTCTACAATTTTCGCTATAAAATTCTTTTCGTGCAAGAAATATAAATTTTTAATTTTACGTATCATTGGAAGTCCCGGGGATGATAATGTAAATGCTATTTAATGTCGTTACTAAACGTTGAACTCCCACCGCGTTATGAGAAAATTTATCTCATCAGAGAGACATTTTGCCATTTCATTATGTGACACTGAGAGATAAAAAATGTTTAATCTAACTAAAATTATAGTTACTTTCCACCTCAATCATATTTTTCGGTTGTTTCAACATGCAAATGATAATAGTGACATATGTATAAGACTTATTGCACTGCACGATAACGTTTTATTCCGCGGAAGCGAGATTTCGCCTTTCTTCGGGTCCTTCCTTTCTTCTTCGTGGACGCGAACGCAAAAACACGATCACGATATATCGCAGAGCGCACAGAGAGTGTCTCCTGAGCGCAAAGCGCATATTTTTAATTGGCATCATCGCATTAGACATCCGAGTGAATTCACGATGAACGATATTGGCAACTGAATTTGCCTAAAGTTAGTGTATATTAGCGTGTATTAGCGAGAGACGGGGTTTCCGTTCCGATGATCGTGCAGAGCAGATCGTGCGCGGGTGGATCCTACTCAAGGGTCCGACGAGCCTTTGAGTCTCGCTGTAACAATTTGGATTGGTTCCGCCAGCCTGAAGTGTCCTTGCGCGAGCGTAAAGGGACGTTAATGCGATTTCGATAGGTTGCGCACGACACACGGAGATGCATCGGCGAGAG